CTCTGTATTGCAGGTTTCAGCACCACCAATCTCCCCCTTGTCCAGCACCCAGCCATTGCCCATTGCTTTAGGTCTCAGCACAACTAGTCTGGACTCTGCTCTCTCATTGGTCTGATCTGTGACCCATCCCATTGTTGTCCACTGCTCTGTATTGCAGGTTTCAGCACCACCAATCTCCCCCTTGTCCCGCACCCAGCTATTGCCCATTGCTTTAGGTCTAAGCACCACTAGTCTGGTCTCTACTCTCCTGTTGGTCTGATCTGTGCCCCATTCCGTTGTTGTCCACTGCTCTGTATTGCAGGTTTCAGTGCCACCAATCTCCCCCTGTCCCATGCCCAGCCATTGCCCATTTATTTAGGTCTCAGCACCACTAGTTTGGTCTCTGCTCTCCTGTTGGTCTAATCTGTGCCTATCTTCTGTTGTTGTCCACTGGTCTGTATTGCAGGTTTCAGCACCACCAATCTCCCCCTTGTCCCACACCCAGCCATTGCCCATTGCTCCATGCTTTAGGTCTCAGCACCACTAGTCCGGTCTCTGCCCTGCCCCCTGCCACTGCAGGTCTCAGCACCACTAGTCTGGTTTCTGCGTTGCTCCCTTGTCACTGCAGACCTCATTACTACTGGTCTAGCCCACCCCCTGGCAATACAGGTCTCAGCACCATTAGTCTGGGCTCTGCCTCACCCCCTGGCAATGAAAGTCTAGAACCACTGATCTGGTCTCTGACTTGCCCGCCTGTCACTGCAGGTCTCATCACCACTGGTCTAGACTCTGATATTCCCCCTGGCAATGCAGATCTCAGCACTAATAGTCTGGTGCTTGCCACACCCCGTGGCAATGAAAGTCAAGAACCTCTGTTTTGGTCTCTGACTTGCCCCCCTGTCACTGCAGGTCTTAGTACCACTGGACTGGTCTCTTCCCCACCCCCTGCCACTGCAGGTTATAACATTACTGGTCCAGGCTCTTCATTCTCCTCTGTTCTCCGCAGGTGACTCTGAATTCCACAGAGAATGGCACTCACGTAGTGACGTGAGCACCCTTTTTCTGTGGCATTTTGCTATGTTCCCAAAAGGATGTGTCTATGACAGCCTGGGTTCACAGGAAGCGGGTCAAATTATGCTGGGTATCATTCAAACCAGAAGAGAAATGGCAGTGATGGATGGAGCAGAATGTGACAACGCAGAGGAAAAGGTTAGCATTGCAGTGAAAACATATTTTTTTAATTTTTTATATTTATATGTTTTGGGCAACTGTAGTTTTTGTTATTGGAGTTGATCTCCAAAGTAAACCTATGGTTCTGTCCTGCATGGACAAAGCACGGGTTCACTTCAAGTGCCAAAGCCTACTATGTTTACATTCCTGAGTTTTCCTGAGATTTTGTATAAATGACTGGCTGTATCCTGACCCAGGAAAAGGTCAGCTGCAGAACGCTTCTAAAAGATAAACCTCTTGTCTGCATCTGCTGACAATTGCGTTGGACATTATATTTCACTATGAGGTCTCCATCCAGCAGTGCAGAGGGGACAATAAGGCCATACATCCCACTGACAAATTCCGAGCAGCTCTGGAGTACAGCAGAGAAGGCTCACAACATCATGAACAGAACAGATAAAAATATCAGGGGATGGGGATACTTTTGGTGGATTTTCATGGATCCTGTCCCAAAAATTCCTCTACATTTCTAAGTGGGAACTTGTTATTTCTTTTAACTTATTCCATCTCCGAGCTGTCTCTATTCCCTCCTATTCCCTTGTAACTGATTGCTTCCATTAAATTAAAAATAAATTCCAACAGTCCTTTTTTTTCTTTCCTGATACGTCTCTCTTCTACTGTTTACATGAGGCAGGGTCCTTCTTTCAGGATCCATGTTACCGCCTACGTGACTTGGGTGCTTCCTATTGGCTGCACATTGATAGGTTCCCCTCGGGACCTAGAAAAGGAGTGCTGTCAGCGTACGGTAACTGTTGGGGGACACTCAAAAAAAAGTGCTGACAAGGAACCCAGAAGGTGGACTAATGTAATATATATCTTAGCATGCAGGTTGGGTTAGAGTGGGTGGGAGGGCGATTTCTTTCCCCCGGAGATGGGCTCTAATTTGCCTAGGTATGCGTCAGATCCACTTTAAGCATAGGATATCAAACGTTGTCACTCAAGTACTGGAATCCTATACAATGAACTACAATGAAAGACTGATTCACACTTGTAAGATTACAGTTGCAGTTATGCCATGTGTGGAATCGCATGGTAAATTAATTTCAGTATATATTCATATAAATCAAGTGGGAGATTGGGGGCGCTGAAACCTGCAATACAGAGCAGTGGACAACAACGGGATGGGGCACAGACAGATCATATAAATCCAATATAAACTCAATAAATAAAATGTGATATATGTTAGAAATTTTATTTTGTTTTTCTCTAAATACTTTTTTTAGGGTTCGTCTAACTTTTCTTCTGCCTTGTCATTCTAAGTGAGAATGGTGTAGCCACTTGCTTACCACAGCCTCCTGGAATACTCAGATCGTATATCCCAGGAGGCTTCAGGACTTTGTAGAGAATATGTGCTGAGGCATGTCATTAAGGAGCCGGCTGTCTCTCTTCCTGGTTCTTGCAGCCACCCCCCGATGATGCAGATGCACCATGGCACGTCATTAGGGAGGCGGCTGTCTTTTCCTGGTTCTTGCAGCCACCCCCCGATGATGCAGATGCACCATTGCACGTCATTAGGGAGGCGGCTGTCTCTTCCTGGTTCTTGCAGCCACCCCCCGATGATGCAGATGCACCATGGCACGTCATATGGGAGGCGGCTGTCTCTTCCTGGTTCTTGCAGCCACCCCCCTGATGATGCAGATGCACCACCATGGCACGTCATCAGGGAGGCGGCTGTCTCTTCCTGGTTCTTGCAGCCACCCCCCGATGATGCAGATGCACCCTGGCACGTCATTAGGGAGGCGGCTGTCTCTTCCTGGTTCTTGCAGCCACCTCCTGATGATGCAGATGCACCATGGCACGTCATATGGGAGGCGGCTGTCTCTTCCTGGTTCTTGCAGCCACCCCCCTGATGATGCAGATGCACCATGGCACGTCATTAGGGAGGTGGCTGTCTCTTCCTGGTTCTTGCAGCCACCCCCCGATGATGCAAATGCACCATGCATGTCATTGCATGTCATTAGGGAGGCGGCTGTCTCTTCCTGGTTCTTGCAGCCACCCCCTGATAATGCAGATGAACCATGGCACGTCATTAGGGAGGCGGCTGTCTCTTCCTGGTTCTTGCAGCCACCCCCCGATGATGCAGATGCACCCTGGCACGTCATTAGGGAGGCGGCTGTCTCTTCCTGGTTCTTGCAGCCACCTCCTGATGATGCAGATGCACCATGGCACGTCATTAGGGAGCCGGCTGTCTCTTCCTGGTTCTTGCAGCCACCCCCCGATGATGCAGATGCACCATGGCACGTCATTAGGGAGGTGGCTGTCTCTTTCCTGGTTCTTGCAGCCACCCCCCGATGATGCAAATGCACCATTGCATGTCATTAGGGAGGCGGCTGTCTCTTCCTGGTTCTTGCAGCCACCCCCTGATAATGCAGATGAACCATGGCACGTCATTAGGGAGGCGGCTGTCTCTTCCTGGTTCTTGCAGCCACCCCCTGATGATGCAGATGCACCATGGCACGTCATTAGGGAGGCGGCTGTCTCTTCCTGGTTCTTGCAGCCACCCCCCGATGATGCAGATGCACCATGGCACGTCATTAGGGAGGCGGCTGTCTGTTCCTGGTTCTTGCAGCCAGCCCCTAATGATGTGCCATGGTGCATCTGCATCATCGGTGGGTGGCTGCAAGAACCAGGTAGAGATAGCCAATCCTTGAAGACGAAGGAGAGAAAGATGGCAATGAAAAAGCTGGTGTGCAGCAGTGGAGTGATGGATCACTACATAACACTACTGGATTCTGTGGGTGAGTATGCTTATTGTGGATATTGTAGCAAAATGAAGGTAAGAAGGGACTTAAAAAAAAAAAAAAAATCACACATGGGGTGGGGGATGTGCACCTTAAAGAAGTTACAGCACCAGGTTTCTTACTTTCTTTTGGGAAAGAAGATTAAAGTATATGAGTAAAAACTGATCATTATAAGCAGCATTAAACATTTTTTCCCAACCTCTGTAACTGAAACTCTTGCTGGACAGCTTGGCCTGCATGTAAAAAAAAGACTTTATAAACTGAACATGATTATTATAGGTATTAACTCCATTTAATTACCAAAAATACACAATTTTCCTTATATGGGAAGTAGGTGTGTGGATATGCATTTTGATCTTTGAGTTATTGGATTTTCTTAAACACATTAAAAAAAAAAACATAAAACACAGCATTCCAAAGTACAGGGGTCTAAACAATGCACATCTGCATACAGGAAAAGTGTGATCAGGCAGTTAAAGTGTTATTAAACCCAAAATAGTAAAATCAGTCTGTATATGCAGTAACGCATGCTTGTTATACTGAATGTGGAATCTAAGGGGTTAATCCTCTGCATTGTGTAAAAACGCTGTTTGATCCTGACTTCTCTGATCCTCCCCTTCTTCCAGTGTCCCCCTCTTATCTCCTGATGAGGCATATCATGTGGAGACACTGTGCACATATGCTCAGTTTGGTGTGTACTGTTAGAAAGGTTTTTTTTTTTTTGGAAGAGTGTACATGATCAGCACAGAGCCAATCAGCACTGTCCAGACAGAGGTCAGGGGTTCTGCATCCTCCTGGAGCAGAATGAAAATTCCTCCTACACGTTTTAACCAGTGCTCAACTGGACACTGATAGAAGTCACAAGACTGTTCTAACTGCTGATGAGAAAAGGTATTTAGTAGTTTATATTTACTAAAATAATTGCACTTCCATGTTGTGTGTACTGTGGGAGACTGGATATAGTGAATGCAGGGCCCTGGGGAGACCAGATATAGTGAACGCAGGGCCCTGGGGAGACCAGATATAGTGAACGCAGGGCCCTGGGGAGACCAGATATAGTGAATGCAGGGTCCGGGGAGACCAGATATAGTGAATGCAGGGTCCTGGGAGACCAGATATAGTGAATGCAGGGTCCGGGGAGACCAGATATAGTGAATGCAGGGTCCGGGGAGACCGGATATAGTGAATGCAGGGCCCTGGGGAGACCAGATAGTGAACGCAGGGCCCTGGGGAGACCAGATATAGTGAACGCAGGGCCCTGGGGGAGACCAGATATAGTGAATGCAGGGGTCCGGGGAGACCAGATATAATGAATGCAGGGTCCGGGGAGACCAGATATAGTGAATGCAGGGTCCGGGGAGACCAGATATAGTGAATGCATGGTCTGGGGAGACCAGATATAGTGAATGCAGGGTCCGGGGAGACCAGATATAGTGAATGCAGGGTCCGGGGAGACCAGATATAGTGAATGCAGGGTCCGGGGAGACCAGATATAGTGAATGCAGGGCCCTGGGGAGACCGGATATAGTGAATGCAGGGCCCTGGGAGACCAGATATAGTGAATGCAGGGTCCGGGAGACCAGATATAGTGAATGCATGCAGGTCCCTGGGTTTAGTAACACTTTATATGTCTTATTAATATTATACAGGATTTATACAGCGCCAACAACTTGCTCAGCAATTTACAATATATTTCTATAGAGGTAATGAAAGTTTCCTTGTAAGTGACTTCTCAAGCAATTCACAAATCGTCTTGGTCGCTGACGCACCCAGGAGACTTTATTTTAGGAAGACTGATAGTGGTGCTATAATTAAACTTAAATAGGATGTAACAAACCACAACGATGAGTGACAAAGCCATTAAGGGCTAAGAGTCTGCCTTCGCCACCACTAATGCAAACGGCATCCTTGACAGGATCTGTCAATGGACCGCATTGTATGGTGCGTCCTACGTGTTGGCTCTGCGAAGTGCAGGTGCGGCCTAAAAAGACTCCGTGTTTTCCAGGAAGACAACAGAAAGCGTAACTCCATTGTGGTCCACTCTGTCGTACGTAAACCCCTGGGCCGGCCTAGATTCTTATCAAGGTCTGCAAATCCTCCTATTTTATAACTTTTCACAGATTTTACAAGTTGGAATTCTTAGGCAATAAGTGATGTTGTCTCCTGAGGCTCGGCCTGACAGTGAATTTATCTGCTCCAGATGTTTTCTTCATTAGGAAACAGAGGAGTTTTCTTAATAAAATCTGGAGAGGAGATGGGACGATGAGGAGGGCTGCACGTCATTACCATCTCACTCTCCGTTTTTGCAGGCAAGGATCTGATTTTCAAATGGGGAAGGGGGTGGGGGAAAATCTAATGGTTGATTGTAGGTTGAGTTAATTATCTTGTTTGCTAGAAATCCTAAACCACCGAGAATTTTGGTTGCTGGGTTGAGTATCTATTACGAAAACACAATTTAGACCTCCTGAACAATCCCTTATAACATTAACTCTTTAGGTGGTAAACCACTATATTCTTAAAGGGAAACTGCAGTTGTTTTTAGACATGCATTATAATAGTATCCAAAAAGTAAATCTGTGCTTTGCCCATGCAGGCCAAAGTAACAGGTTTGTTTTACCCCCACTTCACATCTATGCGGGTGGTTCCGCTGCGGATCCGCACGAAAATCCGTACAGCCACACCACCTGCACAGAGAATTGCAGACCTGCGGGCGGGTGCCATTAGTTCTAATGGCACGCCGCCCACACTGGAAATCGCAACCGTACTGGGAACCGAGGTTCCCGTACGGGCTGCGTTTTCCAAATTAGTGCAGGGACTTCTTCCCTGCGTGTCACGGGCACGGGAGTCCATTCAAATGGGCTCTCGTGCCCGTGCAAAACGCGGCCCGCACGGCCACATATATGTGAATCAAGGGTTAATGCACACCTCCACAGGCGCAAAATACTTACCTAATGCTTTCCTGCCGTTCTGTTCAGTTTCATTCAGCTGCTCAGAGTAAAAGGAAAGTATTGGCATTGCAACTAACATAGTTTTAACTACTTTAAACAAATAGATTGATCAATGATTTTACACTAGGAGGATTGTTCTTAATTCATAATATGTTGCATTGAATAATGAGATGGCGAAAACAGGAGGTGGTCACATTTGTAAGACTTCTCAAGGGAGAGAAACAGGAAATTAACAAAAAGTGCAAAAATAGGTCAACTGGGTCTGGTGAATGAGTTTGCGCTCACTGAGGGGAAGCATGGAGGTGATTGGTACAAGTGGACACTCGATTAAATAAGGACTGTAATTCACTTGGCCGGCCTTTTTCAATCCTTTTAGTTAGTAGGAAGTCTTGAAATAATTTTTTAGGACTCAGGGAAACCCTGCCAATAATTATATCTACCGCTCATGGGACATTAACCTCCCTAGTGGTCTGATTATGTCTATATTTCTGTGCTCAAAGCGGTACATTTTTTTACATGGAAATATGTATTTTTTTTTTTTATTGTAGGCCTGTAATTTTTAGGAATAACTCACTGAAATCTGTCCGGACAAGAGTCTAGTAAACATCCCGGGTAGGATAAAATTTGAAACACGAAATCATAAATTATAATTTAATAAATAATCATAAAAAATAATAATATAATAATAATAAGAAATTTAATTTAATAATATAATCAAACCAAAAATACTGACATTTGAAATATAGCGCCAAGTTCGCACATCGCTGAGCAAAGTCGCAGAATCGTTTTCAGTGTCTGATGAGGAATTTCCCCACGAATCATTATCACTCAATTCTGCAAGTGGTTCTGATTTACTATCGCTGTTCTCTAGCCGGTCTAAAACCGCTTTTGACCTAAAGGGACGCTTTTTGGACACCATGGACGTTTCTCAGTTTCCAGGCAGAAAGAACAGTAAAAATGCAGGCAGGGCGCCGGACAAAATGTATGTGAAATGGTTTGATACAGTAATGTTGTACTATGTTATTTTAGTGTATTTAGTGAATGTCACTTTTTGTTATTTTCAAATTTCCCGCCGTTCCGTCCCTGTACGTCCCGACGCTCGCAGGGGACGGAACCCAGATGACAGATGCCGGCATCCTCTGGAGGACATTGCCGGGGACACTGCAGGAGGGACATTGCGGGAGCCCAGGACAAGGTAAGTGAAGAACAGATCCCGGAGCAGCGCTGCATGGTAACCCCGAGTGTAGCTCGGGGTTACCGCTTTTGGTACTGAAACTTTACCCCGAGCTACACTTGGGAATACCGACAGGGAGGTTAAAGTAAGCAGTAAGTTGTGGACAGAATAAACAAAAGAATAATGAGGAAAAAAGGTGGCATGCTTAGCCACATGCCACATGCTTAGCCACATTTACACTAGTGGTCAATGGGAAAAATAAGCCTTACAGATAGCTGAAAAGATCACTGGTGTCAGTGATAACTTATCGAAGAGGCAGAAAACTGCTCAGTGCACTAGCAACCTCTGAAGCAACCCTAGGATTCCACAGAACCTTGGTTGAGAAAGGTTGCATGGGACATTCAAAATTTAAGAAAATATATGTGCAAAACAGGACTGAGAAACTGTCCAACTTCATGGACTTTTGGTCTAAATTAGGTTAACTTTGATATTTTATAAACAGGTAAAAAAAAATGATTTTTGGAGAAGGGTATATTTGGTATAAGAGAACTCTTAGCACATTAGAGGTTCTAAAAGGAAAGTCTTGTTGCCGGAGTTGTAGTTTACAGAGGGCTACGGAAGCAGGGCCAGAGGTACCCTGAGGAGGCTTAGGAAGCTGCCTTAGAGTGCCAGCATAGGGATGGTGGTATAATCTGAATCCCCAGCGACTCTTTAATTGTCCTGCAGACACACTTCTTTTTTTTTTCTACACACTCCCGGCCGCTGTACCAGTTGGTAGTGTATATACTTTGGTAAAGCGGACTGTCGGTTTTCATGTAGAAGTGATACAAGTGGCTGTGAAGCCAACTAAGACTTCCACAACTACTGCCATGATGTGCCACCCATCATGTGACCCCCCTTGCCATGTTCACCGGGCTCCGCTGTCCCATCTGCAGGCCGGTGCAGTCATAGTGGGTGTTGCTGGAAAGCTGGGCGGGAGCTCAGTGGACCGCCGTCCATTAAACTTCTCTCTTGTGCGCAAGCCAGGAAGTGACGTGTATGATGTCACATCCTGATCATGAGCTGTCAATCACCGGGATAACTGCCTGGAAAGCAGCTGATAGAACACATTGTGTTCCAACAGCTGCAGTGGAGTACAGAGGAGTACAGGGGGCTATTGGGCGATTGGCCACCAATGTGATAGCAATAAAGTGATGTAAAAAAAATAAACAAAAAAGTTTTAGACATTTAAAGAGACACATAAAAAATGCACCTTCGCCTGTGTAGACAAAAATCCTTGCACTGGCCCTGTATGGAAATCCTATGTTACAGCATCGATCGGCCCACTGCTGTCACATGAAGTGAGTCCAACCACTATTTTGGCTGACGGGGGCACACATTCCCACAGAGATTCCAAAATCTGGTGGGAAATCCCCAGGTGATTTTGACAATGTGGAATTAGGGTTGGTACACTCTTTCTCCTTTTCTGCTAGTGCCCTCTGATATAGGGCTGTTGGAAAAGGGTCATAGACTTGTTACAACAAATTCTAGCACTAGAGTTTCCATTAAATCGGATCCATTTTCTCCTCAACCCCCTTTTCTCTAACAGATCGAAATCCTGTAAGAAACTGGCAGCACATATTCTCATGGCAGCAAGACAGTAGAACCTTCTCCGATGGAGGAGAGATACACCTCCATGTCAGATGGGCTTAATTAATAATATTGAGGTCAGAAGGCTGGAGACAGCTAGACTTTGGGGCAGGATGGATAAGTTCCTACAACTGTGGGCCCCTGGGATCAATCAGAGCATGACTATACCCACTCTTCAACTTTTTCTGACACCAGTCATCTGTAGAACCTTATGCAATCTGATTTCAACTCCTATATAGTTGTTAAATGATTAATTTCTTTTTTCTGTTTTGTTTCTGTTCATGTTTGAGAATGTATAGACACCAATGTCTATGGTAGTCACCTTAGGAAACCCTGCTTGTTATTCATGAGGCTTCTTTTTATGCAGTAATAAGGGCTTCTTGTTAGATTCCATTGATGCTACAAGTGAAATATTCTGTATGCTGAAACAACTAAATACATGCAATTTTTAAATTCTAATTCTGAATTCTAAATTTGTAATTTTTTTTTGTATGTTTCTGGGAACCCTAGAACCAGTTCACTGGTGGTCACTGGGATACCCCTCTACATTTGTGGTCAGTAGGAAGAATGCACCCCTTACAGACAGTTAAAAAGACCTCCAAGACCCAGAATCATTGGTGTCATGCAGATGGCTCCATAACTGCAGGAACTGTCACATGTGAGGTCAATCAGCCACAGCTTAAGGAACCCCTAGCACCTCTAATGAAACCCTAGGATAGAAATTGTCAATATGGCGCGATGGGTGCAGCCTGAGTTGAG